AACGGTAATGTGAATCTAGCTAGTGTAGCTTGAGAGAGTGCGTCTAGTAAATTATCATAATTGCTTGAGAGAGATTTATGATAGCCGGAGAATTCTTGATTGATAGAGACAACTAAGGCATCGCTATAAGAAACGTACAACCAAGGAAATCACCGACGGGGGAAACCATTACCTTAGACCTTATTCTAACTATTTACACATTAAGCATAGTTAATTTTCAGCAGTTAATTATTTTCAGACTTTAGTTGTTAGAAATATCATCATTCGTGGATTACGAAGCTTGGGGAAAATTGATTATATGAATTTAGTAAATCAGTCAAAAGTAATTGATAGGTTAATTCTCTGTGGTTCGACTCTGGGCAGAATTACTTAGATTATATTTGCTACGTCCGTATATGTCTTTGTATAAGACATAGTTTGGCGTTATCAGATATAATCGTTCACCTCTTTAACAATAGCTTGGAGGTATACTAAATCCTTAATATCACTCTCTTCTGCCCATCTATCCTTACCAACTTTTGTGTCTATCTCTTCTTGTGCTTTCATCAAGGCATTTTGATGGTTTATCAATAATGCCATTCCCCAATTTATGTGAAGAGCAACTGTGTCTGCTGCATCCAAGACCAAACTCTGTGGAAAAAAAATAGTTAAAAAAGGAATATCAATTATTCGCACCTTGTTTTAGTTAGTATAGTAATTTTAAAGTATGCATCTATGATTTTTTCTTAATTGATTAATAATAAAATAATGCATTTATTTCAACTCTTCTCTTAGAGTTGTACGAGGTCAAGTTTATTTAGTGTAGAATCAAACACACGTTTTATACCTTACCTATATATTTTATTTTTAATCTAAAAAACCAAATATTTACCCAAGAAAAAAGGATATTCTCTAACTAATCACTATTATTAATGCCTTATTATATAATTTTAGTATAACTTCGCCATCGTTATCGAAGTAGAAAAGATGGCCGATTACCGGTCATCCTCCGGGGATTTTCGGTGGTAAGGGTTTTGAAGGTTTTTGAGATTTTTTTTGTCCATAGGAAGTAGAAGAGAAATGTGAAGGTCACTAGCCCTACGGAATGTGTTAGGAATGTGTCCTGAAAGGCATTGCCCTTTCCTTTAGTCTATTGCAAATGATACTTCACTTACTTCTTTCGTATCCAACCAAAAAAAGTCAGTGAAATTTCAATTCCAAAAATTGCAGCACTTATTTTTTTCTTCAATCATTTACATTTTGATGGCCATGTTAAAACTGTTTTTATCAGGAATTTGCTAAGTGTTAAATCAGTAAAGTTGTCTTCGTGTGATCAATAGGTCACGGGTTCGAGCCGTGAAAGCAGCCACTAATGCTTGTATTGGATAGATTGTCTACATCACACGTCTTGAGATGCAGCCCTTTCTCGGATCCTGCGTGAGCACGGGTTGCCTTGTTTACCAAGATGTCCTTTTTTTGCTAGGTGTTGAACTGTTGATTTTAGGAATTTTTACTGCAAAATAATAAACTTAATTACCAATATTATGGAGATTCCAATTTAAGTACCTATATAACTATATCTACGAATTGTATACAATGTAATGAATGAGACTCTATTTTTTCGCATTTTACGCTCCAATATTTCTCATTTTCTCTCTATATCTCTCTCGCCAAGCAAACTCAAGCCGAAAAAAATATATTAGTGATGATTTTTGGTACTTAAAATATAAGATCAGACATCATTCACACCCCGGAATGAATACAGAATCTAAAAAACGACACAAATATTAATCAATTAATTGAACTCATAACCTAATATAATTAAATTTAGATTTTGCGAAATTGTTATTTGTTTGAATTTGACAATTGCAAACGATTGAGAATATCCTTTGGGATCTATATCTCAATTTTGAGAGAATTTGGTAAAAATTAGAGTTGCTTTTGATTGGAATTTCATATTGAAACTCGAAGAGGAAGATATAAATAAGTTGTACGTATGGAAGTTTTATGTAAGTTATATGCGAATTGTATAAAGTTAAATGTTTTGACTGGATTTATACAACAAAAAGTTATATGAAAATTATATATAAGTTGAATGTTTCGACCGAATTTGTATATATGTTACAAAAACTGTATTTTTTTCCAAAACTTCACAAAACGAGGTAACTATTATCCGATTTTTGTACTTATTTGAAAAATCCCTTAAATTTTATAAGACTTTTTTCTATTTGAGTCAATACTCCTAGATAATTGAATGTCCATAGTGTAAAAGTTGTTGAAGTTTGGCAAAATGCCAAAGTCCCACATTGGTTGGGAGTTAAGTTTGGGGGGGATTTTTCCCCTATAAAAGAAGGCCTAATGTTTAGGATTGAAACACACCTCTCATTTGCCTTCTCATCTGTTTAAGGCATTTGTATCTTCTCTCTTTAGTATTATTTCACTTGTATTTTTGGAGTGAAATAAAATATTGGTTGTGTCCGAGGAGTAGGCAAAATTAGCTGAACCTCGTAAATTCTGGTGTTCCCTTTATTGTTGCTTTATTGTCTTATTTATTATTTGGTGGCTGTCATAATTTTTGGTATAGTAGTTGTGACTTATTCACACTATATACATTTGGCTTCCGCAACAATTGGTATCAGAGCCAAGGTACTGTCTAAGTATGCTCTGTGGTTGCAGCATAGTCTGATCTTCCACATCAGAAAAGATTTATCTTGGTAACTGAGTCAAGGTTCTGTCTGAGTATGCTCTGTGGTTGCAGCTTAGTCTGATCTTCTACATCAGAAAGGAAATAATCTTGATTTGTGTCGTCAGCTATTAAATAATATTTGTGTCAAATATGGGAGACAATAAACAAGAAGAATCTACATCAAGTGTCAACAATACGTCATCATTGGCATCTTCGCTTATGACAAGAATTGTGTCAAATGCGAAATTTGCGGTAGAAATTTTTGACGGGTCCGGACATTTTGGGATGTGGCAAGGCGAGGTTCTAGATGTCCTTTTTCAACAAGGGCTAGATCTGGCCATTGAAGAAAAGAAACCAGATGTTATTGGAGAAGAAGATTGGAGAATTATCAACCGTGTTGCTTGCGGTACCATTCGATCCTACCTTGCTAGAGAGCAGAAATATCCATACACAAAGGAAACTTCTGCAAGTAAATTATGGAAAGCACTGGAGGATAAATTTTTGAAGAAAAACAGTCAAAATAAATTGTACATGAAGAAGAGACTGTTTCACTTCACCTATGTTCCTGGTACCACGATGAATGAACATATCACCAGTTTCAATAAGTTGGTCACAGATTTGCAAAATATGGATACAACTTATGATGATGGTGACTTGGCCTTAATGTTGTTGGCGTCACTTCCTGATGAGTACGAGCACCTTGAAACTACTCTACTCCATGGAAATGACGAAATTTCTCTCAGAGAAGTTTGTTCGGCTTTGTACAGCTATGAACAAAGAAAGCGAGAAAAACAGAAGGGCGGAGAAGGAGAAGCACTATTTGTGAGGGGTCGTCCTCAAAATCAAACGAGGACAAAGAAGGGAAGATCCAAGTCAAGATCCAGACCCAGCAAAGATGAATGTGCCTTTTGTCGAGAAAAAGGGCACTGGAAGAAAGACTGTCCGAAGTTGAAGAATAAGGCCAAACATAACAATGGAAAGGCCATTATGGATTCAAATGTAGCTGATTGTGATGATTCAGACTTCTCATTAGTTACAACAGAGTCATCAACATCATCAGACATATGGTTGATGGACTCGGCTTGTAGCTATCATATGTGTCCCAACAGGGACTGGTTCGTGGAATTTCAAGAAGGAGAATATGGAGTCATCCACACAGCGGATAACAGCCCTCTTACCTCATATGGCATTGGTTCAATACGATTAAGGAACCATGATGGAATGATCAGAACATTGATAGATGTTCGATATGTACCGGATTTGAAGAAGAATCTCATCTCTGTGGGAGCCCTAGAATCAAAAGGGTTCAAAATCATTGCAGAAAATGGAGTGATGAGAGTATGCTCCGGTGCACTAGTGGTAATGAAGGCTAATCGGAAGAATAATAATATGTACCGCTATCGTGGCAGTACAGTTATTGGGACAGCGACAGTAACATCCAGTGACGACAAAGAGGCAGAAGCAACCAAGCTATGGCACATGCGCTTGGGACATGCTGGAGGAAAATCCTTGAAAACTCTATCAGATCAAGGATTGTTAAAAGGAGTAAAGGCTTGCAACTTGGAGTTTTGTGAGCATTGTGTTAAAGGGAAACAGACAAGGGTTAAATTTGGTACAGCGATCCATAATACTAAAGGCATTTTGGATTATGTACACTCTGATGTTTGGGGTCCTTCCAAAACACCTTCATTGGGTGGGAAGCACTATTTTGTAACCTTTGTTGATGATTTTTCCCGAAGAGTATGGGTGTATACAATGAAGAGCAAAGATGAAGTGTTGGGAATTTTTCTCAAATGGAAGACGATGGTGGAGAATCAGACAGGCAGGAGGATCAAGTGTATTCGCACAGACAATGGAGGTGAATACAAAAATGATCATTTCAATAAGGTCTGTGAAAATGATGGCATCGTCCGACACTTCACTGTTAGACATACACCACAACAGAATGGAGTGGCAGAACGTATGAACCGGACCTTGCTGGAGAAGGTACGGTGTATGTTGTCCAATGCTGGCTTGGGCAAAGAATTTTGGGCTGAGGCAATTACATATGCATGCCACCTCATTAATCGTCTACCATCTGCTGCTATTGATGGCAAAACACCATTTGAAAAATGGTACGGAAAACCTGCTGTAGATTATAACTCTTTGCACGTGTTTGGCTCAACTGCATATTATCATGTGACGGAGTCAAAATTGGATCCAAGGGCAAAGAAGGCTATTTTTATGGGAATTACTTCTGGAGTCAAAGGATATCGCTTATGGTGTCCTATGACAAAGAAAGTAATATTCAGCAGAGATGTTACCTTTGATGAATTTGCTATGGTAAATAAGGTAACAGAAGATACCAAACAAAATGAAGGTGCTTCTAAGCAGGTGGAGTTTGAGGGAAAATTTATTTTTCCTACACAAGAAGCAGAGGAGGAAACAAATGAAGATTACCCTCTGGAAGGAGAGCCAGTAGAGGAGATTCCAACTCAGGAATCTCAACAACAACTTGAATCAATAGCAACCAGCAGGCCAAAAAGAACAATAACGAAACCTGTTCGTCTCATAGAGACGGTTGCTTGTGCAACCTCAATTGTAGCTGATGATGTTCCTACTACTTATAAAGACGCTGTCCAAAGTTCAGAAGAAGATAAGTGGAGGATTGCCATGAATGATGAAATACAGTCCCTTCATCAGAATCATACATGGAGATTGGCCAATCTCCCGAAGGGAAAGAAAGCAATTGGGTGCAAATGGGTATTTGCAAAGAAGGAAGGATTTCCTAACCAAGTAGATGTTCGCTACAAAGCAAGATTGGTGGCCAAAGGATATGCTCAAAAGGAGGGAATTGATTACAATGAAGTGTTTTCTCCAGTTGTAAAACATTCCTCCATTAGAATTATGTTGGCTTTGGTAGCACAATTGGATTTGGAACTAGTTCAGATGGATGTAAAAACTGCGTTTTTACATGGAAACTTGGAGGAGGAAATCTACATGACTCAGCCAGAAGGATTCAAAGTTGCTGGAAAAGAAAATATGGTGTGCAAACTTGAAAAATCGTTGTACGGATTGAAACAATCTTCTAGACAATGGTACAAGCGATTTGACGAGTTTATGTTGCGGCAAGGGTACAAGAGAAGCAAATACGATCATTGTGTGTATTTGCACAAGCTTAAAGATGGTTCCTTTGTATATCTTCTCCTATATGTTGATGATATGTTGATAGCTTCCAAGAATTCGGAAGAAATTGATAAGTTGAAGATTCAACTGAAGAAGGAGTTCGAGATGAAGGATTTGGGTGAGGCAAAGAAAATTCTTGGCATGGAGATAATTAGAGATAGACGTTCAAAGAAACTCTGTTTATCTCAAAAGGAATATTTGAAGAGAGTACTTCAACGTTTTGGCATAGATGACAAGACTAAGCCAGTTAGTACTCCACTTGCTTCCCATTTTAAGCTAAGTACTACTATGTCGCCAATGGATGAAGCTGAACGAGAGTATATGTCAAAGGTACCATACGCAAATGCTGTTGGTAGCTTGATGTATGCAATGGTTTGCACAAGGCCTGACATTTCACAAGCTGTTGGAGTTATTAGCAGATATATGCACAATCCAGGGAAGGAGCATTGGCAAGCTGTGAAGTGGATTCTACGGTATATTCATAATACTGTAGATGTCGGGTTAGTTTTTGAGCAGGAAGACAATCAGTCTGTAGTTGGATATTGTGACTCAGATTTTGCGGGTGATATGGACAAACGAAGATCAACTACTGGTTATGTGTTTACTTTTGCAAAGGCACCAGTTAGTTGGAAGTCTACTTTGCAGTCAACAGTTGCTTTGTCTACAACAGAGGCAGAGTACATGGCTATTACAGATGCTGTGAAAGAGGCAATTTGGCTTCAAGGATTGCTAAAGGAGCTTGGTGTTGAACAAAAAGGTATCACAATTTTTTGTGATAGTCAAAGTGCTATTCAATTAGCGAAGAACCAAGTTTATCATGCAAGGACGAAGCACATTGATGTTCGGTATCATTTCGTACGAGAAATCATAGAAGAAGGTGGAGTCACGGTGAAGAAAATTCATACTACAGAGAATCCTGCTGATATGCTGACAAAGGTGGTGACTGCGGTCAAGTTTCAACATTGTTTGGATTTGATCAACATTGTTGAACACTGAAGATTGAAGATGAAGACACAACCAAAATTTGTTATTGAGAGAGAATTGAAAATGTGGAATTTTGCCAAGGTGGAGATTTGTTGAAGTTTGGCAAAATGCCAAAGTCCCACATTGGTTGGGAGTTAAGTTTGGGGGGGATTTTTCCCCTATAAAAGAAGGCCTAATGTTTAGGATTGAAACACACCTCTCATTTGCCTTCTCATCTGTTTAAGGCATTTGTATCTTCTCTCTTTAGTATTATTTCACTTGTATTTTTGGAGTGAAATAAAATATTGGTTGTGTCCGAGGAGTAGGCAAAATTAGCCGAACCTCGTAAATTCTGGTGTTCCTTTTATTGTTGCTTTATTGTCTTATTTATTATTTGGTGGCTGTCATAATTTTTGGTATAGTAGTTGTGACTTATTCACACTATATACATTTGGCTTCCGCAACAAAAGTTTCATACGATTAAGAGATCCATATACCTTAGATGTGGGTTGCCAATATTTTCAGCTGCAACACGGATTATAATTCGTCTTCATCTCGCTGTATTTACTCAATTTAAGAACACCAACTTCTAGTAGTGTTTACTCTTTTTTTTAAAACCCACAGTGGGGTAAACTTTTATTCCTGAAGCATCACGAATACAAAGAGGGGGCTATGCCTGACCTCCATGAACAAAAGGAATGGAGATCCATTCGTTACATAGTATGATATTCCTCTAATTATTCTATCCAAAAAAAGTTTTTGCTAAGCTGGTGATTTATGGTATTTGTTGATCCATATCCAGCTAGCAGTACCTATCTAAGGTGGTTCAAAAAACCATCCAGAATGTTGGTTGCTTTGATCCTGAATGAGGGTATTTGTAGCTTGTCCATTCTCAGATATCCTTTTGTCCCCCACGGTAATTCCTCTTCTTGCAAATATAACTTGTTTTCCAGAGGGTATTAGTAGTGTTTACTCAGGTACAAGAACAAAACACGTTTTAAACACAAATAACAAGGTTTGGTGAAGTCCGTGCATGATTGAGTTGTGGTGACTGTATCCCTTTGTCTGGAGCTTTTGTGAGTGTGTGTGAGAGAGTGTTGTTATTGGGTTGAGTGGAGATGATAAAGTTAAGAATTGCCCCGAGTGGTGTAGAATGCTCTCCCAACAAAAGTGTGAATATCTTGAATAGCAAAATGATGAGGGCAAGAATACAATGAGATTTCTTATCCATCGTTAAGGTTTTTGAGAAAACTCACAGGTTTCCGAGTTACTCATATTTTCGTGCATGGGGCGGGTTGGAAAAAAAACGAAGATTTGCACAGTCGCGGCGCATGGGGCGACGCATGGGAAGATTTGCACAGTCGCGGCGCATGGGGCGACGCATGGGGCAGCGCAGTAATAAAAAATGTGTCTAGAAACGAAATTTGGGGGTGCTCTGTTAATCTACACAGCTGCGCCGCATGGGGCGACGCATGGGGCAGCGCGATAGTGTACAATTCTGCCAGTTTTTGATAATTTGGTCATAACTTCTGGTAGGAGTGTCCAAATGACGAACGGTTTGAAGCGTTAGAAACTAAACTCAAAGATCGTTCATTTGATAGGTTGTGAATCACATAACACCATATATACATGTGGATATTCTCGTGCAAAGTTTAGTCTTGTGCGTACTCATTTGGACTTTTAGTCTATCATGTAATTTTCCAACTTGGCTTAGACTTAGGTCTCTCCTTGGATCCAGAATCACTTATGATATACCTCGTACACTTAGTATCATATCCAATTGATAACCATCACATTAATACTCATTTAATGCATCCCTAACTGATTCAAATTTACGGTGTTACATTATCTCCCCCTTGGGATCATTCGTCCTCGAATGATTGTCCTGGCTGTATCTTCGACTAACTCCAGGCCTTAAGTGGGTCTAGTGGGAACATGAACTATTATTAATACTTGCATGCTAAACTGAATGAATATAGGATTACTAAACTGAGGAGATACTGAACTGAATAAGTACTAGACTGAATGTCTACTAAACTGACTAAGTACTGAAATACATGGAGATTGTAATATAAGGTCTGAATGAAAAGGTTAGTTACCTTCAACATTTCTCCAAAACACCTGGCTGCTAGCAGAGCATAACACAAGCCTCACAGGGCATCATAATACACATAACAAGAAATATATATGTGAATACTAGTCTGTCACGGATACGTAAATCCTGAACTAGCATGGGTATATGAATACTGAACTGGAACGAATAATTGAGTGCTGAACTGACGTGAATATCTAATCAGTGAACTCATATCAATATCTGAGTATTAAACTGGCATGAATATCTGAGTATTAAACTGACATGAGTATCTGAGTACTGAACTGAGTTGAATGTTCTAACAAGAGATGTGAATACTGGAAACACAAATGTCGTGACATGAGATTTGAATACTGGAAACTTGAATGTTATAACATGACACGTGAAATACTGGTGCATAACCACTAATTATGGTGGAAATTCTAACTCATAATCTACTTACCCGATCCTTCATAGGATCCTATATCGGCTGATGTATCTGGATTGAGCTTTCCTTTCTTCCCAAATCTTATAACACCTTTCACATGCGAAACTTTTAGAAACACCCAATCATCAACTTGAAACTCTAGGTCTCTATGGTTCATGTTTGAATAGGACTTTGGGCGACTCTGAGCTGTCTTCAAATTCTCTTTAATCAACTTGACTTTCTCCATTACTGATTGACCAAATTTGGTCCCAACAATTTCCACTTCTCCAACCTCGAACCAACTAATTGGCAATCTACTCCTTCGCCCATAAAAATTATGCTTTAAAAATGAGCAAGATAATCCTATTATAAGGTCCATATTTACCATCTCCGCTAAAGAATACGTGTATTCCGAGATAAACACTTGGTTTCCTGCTGCTCGACTTTCACTTGCTGGCAATTCATATACTTAGGCACAAAGTTTGCGATCTTCTTTTTCATGTCATTCCATCAATAAGTCTCCTTGAGATTATGATACATCTTTGGGGAACCTGGGTGCATAGAATACCTGGAATTATGGGCTTCTAACATCTTCCTCCCTCGCTAAGTCCATCTATGGTTGGAACACACAATCTATCCCGATACCTCGAAGTACCATCATCTCCCCCTTGTTCAAAAGACATTATGTTATGCATGTGAATCCCTTCTTTCATCTACAACAAGTAGGGATAATCAAACAGTTTCTCCTTCACTTTGGCTACTAAGGAGGAATAGGTCCTGTTCTAGACAACAACTCCGATATCTTTGGTGTCCGAAAGTTGAACTCCTACCTTGTCTAAGCAATGAACTTATTTCAATATAGTTCTCATGTCTACCTCATTCATGAGCTATAATTTCTTTTTAAGCACTTCATGAAAAACACTTATAGTATTATTATGAACTAGTCTTTGACATGTACTCTAAATTTTAGAGTCTCGTGCAATGGCACTACCCTCATAACACACCAATAGACATGATTTTATAGCTTTTTGTGATCACTCTATCATCAATAACTAGGTTCGGTGATCACAGTACTCACTTTGTATTTCTTACACATGCTAGACATATTCCTTGTGATAATTATACAATTTTCCCTCATTACTGAACTGATTTTCTTTATCATATCCCAAGCTAATTATTCGGGTTTCAAATCTCTAACTGGACTTACTGAAATTTTTTACATCACCCCTTATACCAAAGATCTTATACTTGCAGATCCTTCTCTTTTTGTTGGATCCAAATAACTTTCCTTCTTTCTGCAATTCTTTGCACTCTACATCAATGATGACACATTTTCCAACTTACTTCTGAGCTAGGAAAAACTAAATTATTCACATAACAGAAAGTTAATGTATTCACAACTATCATACATAATCTTAATAATTCAACTCTGCTCACACTGTCAATCTTGGAGAAATCATATTTCAATAATTCTTAAAGACTATTCTTTTATAGCTTGCTCTCTCACTGTTAGCTGATTTTTTTCTATTGCCACTGTACTTCGGGTTTAACTTAAACTCTTCGGGTTCTAACACATGTTCGATATTTCAAACTGTCATCCACTCATTGGAGTTAACCTGACTAAGTGAATCAAATCTTACCTCTACTAGTTCTGCTGAAATTGCTAATTCACTATATTTACTCAAAATTTATTTACTATTCTTTTACTAACCACCTGCTAGCATCATGTTTTCTTGCTATGCTTTGAATAAATAAAGTGAATCATAAGGTTTATCCTAACTTCCTTCATCATCTGACCATATTCTTTTGTCGTATACTATCATTCTTTTTGAACTATGCACATGAATCACACTTAGGGAAAATTTATCTGTCTTAAACAAAATTGGAATATCTAACTCAAAACTTTCTATACACTTCAAAATCACTATAGACTATAAACCCCCGGCCTAAACACATAGTCACATCATGTGAAGGGGAACTGTCATATATTTTCTCTCACAATAATAGCCACTTCGTATACAAATTCACTAACATGGTAATTTTTAGTTATGATATGAATAAACCTAAACAACTTAAAATCATTCCATAAAATTCAATGTCGCCTGCTCTTGGTTCTCATTTTGTACATCATATTATTCTTAGCTATATTTCTCTTAGGCTCTTTTCTGTCGAAAACTATAGTGATCAATTCTATGCCTGCTGCGGTTAAATTCTTAACCTATTACACCGTAAGGTCTGACATGCGGATACACTGCTATAAATATCTAATAGATCACTTCATGCACCATCTGATGAGTCTTGGGTCTTAATCCCTAAAACATGCGAAGATTTCACTATAATCTTTGTCACTTATATTCTCTTTGATCATCCATATGCATCACTGTATACTCATAAGTCTCCAGAAGTTTTGGTATACTGAAAATTGGAGATCAGGTAACTGAATAGCAAATAACCAGTATACTGAATAACCATAAACCTGCTAACTGAAAGGCCGCTAACTGGTAACTAAGATAAACTGAAAACCATAAAACATGATAACTACTTTTGTACTTTTTGATTATATGATGCTCTAATCTGTACTACTATCCATTACATCCTACTTTCAGCATGCTCTCAAATCTTATTTGTTACCAACATGTACTCCATAGATATACCTGTAACACCCCGTACATTCGGACTAGGTGTGGATATGTTAAATGGGTATTAATTTTATAATTTAGACATATGAATTCCTAGAGGGATGATTATGAGTGAAAATAGTTGTTTCAAAATCAAGATGGAAAGTGAGGTGCATAAGCTTTGATAAAATCGACTAAGTTTGTAAAAGGTCTGTCTTCCAGCAGGGTTTAGTGAAATTTGTAAAGAATGTGGGAAAAGTAAAAGCATGAAAGTTGTAGGCCTTTGAAATATCTTTCCAACGATATATTGTGGATCCCAAACGGAACTCTGTGCAAAAGGTTATGCCCGTTTTACAGAATAGTGCGTAACCACCACGTTCGGCCGTGTTTGACCGCGACCGCGGTCGTGAGGCAGTGCTCCAGCTAATTACCATAGTCAGGACCGCAGTCAGTCCTACTGGGACGTGGTGTCCAACTTGGGAAGTCATTGTTTAGCCCTATTTCGTCCCCCACAACCCCAAAACATAAAAACTTGCTCTGGAAAGGAAAGCTCTCAAAAACCTAACTCTTTAAGGGCCCCTCCACCACCCAAGGTAAGTTCTAATGGTAATTCTAAGTTAATTTTAATTCCCCAATACCTTATTAACATGGGTAAACCCTCCATATCATTAGATATTCGATTGGGACATCATTATTAAGAGAAGAAGCCCTAGAACTCAAATTCAAGAAGATTGAACGTCAAAAAGATAATATCTTCACCCTCTAATTGATTCTATCATTGAATTAATAATTAGACTCTAGTTCATGAGATATGAGTTGATGGGTTTGATAGAAAAGCATGAACGGTGATAAGTTTGGGTTGTTGATTGTTGATTATTGGTTAAGGGTGTTGTTTACCTTATGGGTGATAAAGAATAATGTTGATTATAACCATTTGAGACTTTAGAATTTATCTAGGAGCAAGAGAATGGGTTATTGGGTGTTGAAACACCATTAGTAGGGATTATGAAGCTTTATACTCACCAAGTGTTTGATAAAATGCCTAAATGGCCAAAACATGGGTATTGTTGCTAATTTGGAATCCCTTTGACTTATATTGATATAGATTAAAGTTGAAAGGGCTGGCGAATGTTGTATTATGCTCAAGAGAAGGAAGTTAAGGTATGTGAGGCTAACTCTCTATGTTTGGGAATGTTAATGATTCTCCCTTCACTACGTTTCTTTTACGACGTATCAATTGCCTCAGAAATATAGTTAAGCCTAGTTCGTTGAATAGTTGTAGAACTTCTATTCTTTAGCTTCATAACTCGTTCATGACTTTCATTCTGAACGTTGTGAGCTTAGTTCGTATTCAATATAGACTTGGGTTTGATGTCCCTAAGTCTTAGTATAGCTTACTCAACATGTCATAAATAGTTGAATTTTCAGTGTTCATAATCAGTTCAAGAATACATGTCTCATTCTAGTCCTATTCAGTATTCCAGTATTATATAACTCAGTGTGGTTCAGTATTCCAGTATTATGTAGCTCAGTGTGATCCAGTATTCCAATATCATGTAACTCAATGTGATTCAGTATTTTACTATCATGTATTGCAGTATGATTCTCAGTTCCTGATTTTAAATCCTTGAATGTTGAACACCTGTATTTGGGACTGAGGCTGCTGTTTATGCTTTATGCATTTTGGACCTGAGGTCGCAGTTATGTATACGTATACTTGGGCCCGAGGCCGCAATTTTTGCACATATATATTGGGCCTGATGCCGCAGTTTAATATTTAGATAAACAAGTTGTTCATCATTCAGAAGAGGGGGTATTCATATCCTTACTTCCTTTCAGTTAAGTTATTAGTTACCATTTCAGTTATTAGTTATCATATCACTTACCAATTATCAGTTCAGTAATCAGTTATCAGTTATAAGTCCATTATCAATTATTAGTTATCATTTCATTTATCAGTTATTATTTAAGTGATCAATTATCAATTCTCAGTTATCAGCTTCGTTTTAGTTTCAGCATTTATAATTCTTTCTTTCAGTTGCTTTACATACTAGTGCAATTCAAATATACTGATGTCCCTTTTGCCCGGGGCCTGTATCTCACGATGCAGGTAATGATTTACAGGTTGATGATTTAGAGTGCTAGGATTCTCGTACCAGCTATTTGGTGATCCCCAATTCTTTCGGGGCATTATTATCACTTTACAGTCTTTCAGTATTTAGAGACAGTAAGTGTTTTCAGTAATTCATTAGAGGCTTCATAGACTAGAGTGACAGTTAGACAAAGTCTCAGGATTTTTATGTTATGCTATGTTGACTGCAAATATATTTCAGAATTGTATTAGTAGTTTCGCACCTTCATTTATATCATCCAGACTTTCAGTATATCAGCATGTATTAGTTTATCTTCCGCATTTAGTATATTATGATATCACATGTTGATTCAGCCATCCAGTTGGTTCGCTCGTTCACATGTAGTCAGGCACCGAGTGCCATGTTACGTCCAGGCCCAGGTTCGGGGTGTGACAAAGCTTGGTATCCGAGAACTAGGTTCAAGAGTCCTAGGGAGTCTATGAAGCCGTGTCCAATGGAGTTTCCTTTATATATGTGTGCCAGCCACTCATATAAATGGTTTACTAAAGACATTCAAGATTGTCTCACTTTTTTCTACTCTAGATCGTGCCATGAAGCTTAGAGCAATAGACCTTCTTTTCCTATCGAATTCCAAATGTATTGGATGCCCCAGCGATGTGCAGGAGAAACCTAAGGCC